CCACATGCTTTGGGATTGTAGTGCAGTTTCTTACCACTAGGCCACCAGAGCTCCCTTATCCTTCTACTAGGCATACAAGAAGACTAGCTTCTGAAAAGACTAGAGTCTGAAAAGTCCAGAGGAAATGGCCCATGTTCTCTGATCTTTGCTGTATTGTAGACTATCATTGTTGTTTTTGTTGTTGTTATGTTCTGTCAAGTAGTAGCCCTATGAACAATAGCAACCTTATGAGCAACCGATCTGAACTCGGTCCTATCCTGTGCCGTCTTCACAATCTCTGACACACCAAAGCCTGTTGCAGCAGTTAAGGTGTCAGTCCATCTAGCTGAGGCTCTTCTCTTTTGCCAGCCCTCCAGTTTTCTGAGCATGATGTTCCTCTCCAAGGAAAGCCTCTCCTCCTAGCGACATGCCCAGAATAATGTGACATGAAGCTTTATCACTTTTGCCTCCAAGGAGCACTCTGGCTGCACTTTCTCCAAGATGTATTTGCTAGTTCTTTTGACAGTCTATGGTAGTCCAAGAGTATGCAGTACTCTTCTTCAGAACCATAGCTCAAAGGTCATCCTTATTCATTGTCCATCCTTATTCATTGAAAAGACCATGCACCCTGAATCAGCTATACTTTATGCTTAAACTGACATCATTGGCCTTCAATAATGTTTTATTCCTTGGGGTGTTGCAGAATATATCTTGAAAAGACAGAATAGTTATCTTTGCTTACTGAAATAAACCCTATTTTTAAACGTTTCTTATTTTATTCCATTCCAGAGGACTAAAGGGCACTCTGGCTGCACCCTCTCTAAGACATATGTTTGTTTTCTTGGCCATCCATGGGATGTTCAGCACTCTTCTCCAACACCACAGCTCAAAGGCATCAATTCTTCTGTCATCCTTATTCATCCAGATGCAAAGCAAGTGATCGGAAAGACCATGACCTGAATCAGACATACCTTAGTCCTCAAACTGACATCATTACTCCTCAATAATTTGGAGAGGTTCCTAATTGCAGACTTTCCTCGTACCATATATCTCCTTATTTCCTGACCCCTAGTACCAACGGTGTTAAGTGTGGACCCAGGTAAGATGAAGTAGTTGACAGTTGGTATGATCCACATAGTAAATACCTTTTGCATAGTCAATGAAGCATAGACATTCTTCTGGTAATACTTTCAGCCAGGATCCCTCTGACATCAGCAGTGATATCCCTGGTGCCATGGTCTCTTCTAAATCCAGCTTGAACTTCTGCCAGTTCCCTATCTACATATTGTTCTAGCCATTTTTTTAATGATCTTCAACAGTATGTTGCTTGCATGTGATATTGATAGTTCCCACTCTATTGAATCACCTTTCTTGGGAATGGAAATATGGACCTCTTCCAACCCATTGGCCAAACAGCTACCCTCCAAATTTCCTGGCATAGGCTAGCAAGTGCATCCAGGGCTGCATCTCTTAATTGAAACAAGTCAAGTGGTATCCCATCAGTTACTGGGGCCTTATATTTTGCCAATGCCTTCAATGCAGCTCCCACTTCCTCCTTCATTACCTTTGGCTCCTGCTCTTTCTGAAATTTTTTCAGTCAGTTCTTTTTGGTACAGTGACTCTATATTCCATCATCTTCTGATGCTTTCTGAGTCATTCAGTAGTACTGCCCACAGCCTTCAATGTGGATTGAAGCTCAACATCAGGAAAGCAAAGATTTTCACCACTGGGCTGATTGGCAGCATCATGATGGATAGTGACGAGACTGATACTGTTAACAGTTTTAATTTGCTTGGCACCAGAATCAACACTCTTGGTACCAACAGCCAGAAATTCAAGAGATGAATTGCACTGCAAAAGTTGGCTGGTTGTCCGGGACCTCTCCAGAGTACTGCAAAGCAATGATGCCAGTCTGGAGACTAGGGTGTGCCTGATTCATGCCATAGTCTTTGCAATTGTTTGTCAGAGAGCTGGACAATGACTAGGAATGACAGAAAGAGAACTGATGCCTTTAAGCTGTGGTGCTGGAGAAGAGTATTGAATATACCATGGACTGTCAGAACAAGTTCATCCTAGAGAGGGCGAAGCCAGGTTGCTCCTTGAAGGCAAGGATTCTGAGGCTTTGTCTGACATACTTTGGGCATGTTGCAAGGAGAAACTGGACCTTGGAGAAAGACATCATGCTTGGAAAGGTGGAGGGATGAAAAAAGAGGGAAACCATTGATGAAATGGATTGATACAGTGACTAAGGTAATGTAATGAGGATAGGTGTGTCAGAGACGATTAAGTTGGCACAGAATAGAGGTTTCAGGGCTGTTGTACATAGGGTCGCAAGTAACCCAACGACATATAACAGCATCTTTTAATAGTGTCTCAAAGCTTAAATTTT